TAGTTTGTTGTTTGTCTTTGTTTGCTTTTGTTGATGTTATTTTTAATAAATAATTTAAATTACTCCAAAGGTTTAACTCTGCTAAAGGCAGCAAACATGTTTGTGAATAAATATTAGTTTACTAAGTTAGCTTTGTTTGGTCTTTTGATAATAAAAAGGCTTTCCTGATTTAAATTTGGAAATTGTCTTCGTCATATATGAAAAGGCAAATAAAGGTGTGTTGAGATAAGCTTAGTTCTTAGTTAAAACCGCTAAATTAGCACCCCGACCCAGTTATTATTTCCCCCTATAAACAAAAAATCACATGCTCTTCTTTTCGAAAAATGCGTCTTGTGGGTGTTGACAACACCTTTAAACCTTTTCGGTAGTGGAATACAACCCGATCCTCCCCTGAGCGGAACGTAACGATTCACTCTAACCTCAAATTTAGTGACTCGCAGAAAAGCCCAGCCTGAACCCTTCATGACCAACTCTTCCTTTCATGAATGAACTTGGCAAACATGTGGGAACAGAACTGTTCTATATCTGTAGCCTGCAGGAGAGGAGTGAACACAGTTTTGAACTTTCGCAAGCATGTCTCATTTCAAACTCACATTGCATGAATATATTTATACTAGCTGTAACCCGCGGGCTTTGCCCCGTTTAACTTCTTAATGTTCAAGATTATCTCGTTCGCATGGCTCAATCACGTCCTGGTTGAAGTTTGTTCGCTACGCTCACTCACCTTTAGGTTGGAGCTCGTTCGCTACGCTCACTCACCTTTAGGTTGGAGCTCGTTCGCTGCGCTCACTTGCCTTCAGGTTAGCTCGTTCGCTACGCTAACTCGCCTCCAGGTTGAAGTTCGTTCGCTACGCTCACTCACCTTTTGGTTGCAAATTAGCTGTTGTCATACATGTAAAAGAAATAATAGTGCTGCACCCTGTTGGTAATTTTTGTAACTTTAATGCTATTGAACATCACAGAACAGAACCAACTTGTTTAATTGAAACAGCTGTTAAGATTCAATAATTTCATTTCTCATAAGGTTAACATGGGAAACTCCAGAGCCACTGGGGCGGAGCCCGAAAGGATTTTTGAAATAAGAATATGCCTATATGTTAATCGGGAATGTGAGCTATCATCATGCCAAATTTCAGCCCAATCCGACCAGTATTTTTCGCGTTCACTTGTCACAAACATACATCCATACATCCATCCATACATCCATACGTCCAAACTTTCTCATTTATAATATTAGTAGGATTAACACTATCATACATCTCAAGTATCCTAACCAGCAGGGTGACCAGATGTTCAAAAATAAAAGTTAGGAACAGCTGCATCGTGAACTTACTGTCACCCTGAAGCCAGCCACATCATCGTCCCCTCCGTTTGATGTAGTAGGCAACTGCGACGTGGTCGGCTGCGCTGTGTTCCTCTCCTTTATGACGGGGCAGGATAAGTTGATATGTACAGTAAGGTCAGACTTCCGAGTAAAGGTAGCTGCACAATGTTTACAGGCAACTGCGACGTGGTCGGCTGCGCTGTGTTCCTCTCCTTTATGGCGGGGCAGGATAAGTTGATATGTACAGTAAGGTCAGACTTCCGAGTAAAGGTAGCTGCACAATGTTTACAGGCAACTGCGACGTGGTCGGCTGCGCTGTGTTCCTCTCCTTTATGGCGGGACAGGATAAGTTGATATGTACAGTAAGGTCAGACTTCCGAGTAAAGGTAGCTGCACAATGTTTACAGGCAACTGCGACGTGGTCGGCTGCGCTGTGTTCCTCTCCTTTATGACGGGGCAGGATAAGTTGATATGTACAGTAAGGTCAGACTTCCGAGTAAAGGTAGCTGCACAATGTTTACAGGCAACTGCGACGTGGTCGGCTGCGCTGTGTTCCTCTCCTTTATGACGGGGCAGGATAAGTTGATATGTACAGTAAGGTCAGACTTCCGAGTAAATGTAGCTGCACAATGTTTACAGGCAACTGCGACGTGGTCGGCTGCGCTGTGTTCCTCTCCTTTATGACGGGGCAGGATAAGTTGATATGTACAGTAAGGTCAGACTTCCGAGTAAATGTAGCTGCACAATGTTTACAGGCAGCTGCGACGTGGTCGGCTGCGCTGTGTTCCTCTCCTTTATGGCGGGGCAGGATAAGTTGATATGTACAGTAAGGTCAGACTTCCGAGTAAAGGTAGCTGCACAATGTTTACAGGCAACTGCGACGTGGTCGGCTGCGCTGTGTTCCTCTCCTTTATGGCGGGGCAGGATAAGTTGATATGTACAGTAAGGTCAGACTTCCGAGTAAAGGTAGCTGCACAATGTTTACAGCTTATGGGGCTAAAAAAAGTGAAGACATGTATTGTATTATTAATACCTAATGTTTGGCTCACAAGTATGAACCTCACATCCTTTTTTTATTGTAGTAAATACAGACAGAAAAGACAAAATAGCGGAAACTCCAATCATGCAAACCTTTTACCATAGGTCAAAATACCACTACTACTGCAAAAGACGTTAAAGAAAACAGTTTTCAACTTTGATTGAGATTTTACGAAGATAATAAATATAAAACCTGTTCTACAACAAATCCATACTACTACTATGATTAAAAATAAAAGAATCACAATTTCTAACATATTTGAAAGTGCTTTTTATTGAAAAATAAAACTTTGAGAGGGGGGGTTTGAGTCAAGCAAACATATTACGTATTTAATATACCAAATTTGAAAATAAATTACCAAATTGGGGATTGTATTTTGCTGCAAACCTTGCCACCATACCATAGGGTAATTAAACAAAGTCTTACGATAACCAGAAAATACTGTATACGATTGAAACAGTAACACAAACGGACAATCCAGCGCCACGGACAAACAAATTAGGCAGACGGACCAAATATCAAGATTATTTCAGATTCTGCTTCTACTGGATATTAAATTTATGAACATAATTTAACCTTCATTTGATTTTTTCAGTTTTGTTGGTTAGGTTAGGATATGACAGTAACTGCTGGACATCTAATCCACGTCCTGTAACCGGTCGTGTATCCTCTACGTATAGTTTAATATGATAATAGCTTAAGCCTACGTAAACTTAAATAGGTTTAATATGATAATAGCTTAAGCCTACGTTAACTTGAATAGGCTACATGAAATATTTATTTAATATTGATTCATCACCTTCTTATGCATCATTTCCAAGGTTTAAATGTGATCAAAATCATATCTGAAATCTTTTCAGTAAAGGAATTATTAGTCTATAAGTAACTTACCAAGTTAGTTTGTGGTTTCCTTGTAATAATAACCACATCCCTCATAAAAAGGTGTATTGCAGCGAACCAGGACAGTTTTGGTTGGTATACATCGTCTGTTCCTGCTCCACTAGTTTTTGATTCGCTTATTTTCAGCATTTCTGTTCTGTAGGTCGACTTAATAGATTTGACTCGCCTTTGGCTCGCTGAACCCCAGGCCACCTAGCTGTTAGTCGTCATTTGCAAATTTAGGAAAGGGTGAGAGGCCATCACCAAGAAGCCGGGGAAATTTCAAGCCCGTAGCACACCTAGTAGTGGTCTAGAAAGCACTCTCCGCATTTCTAAATTCTTTGTGGGGTTGTAATAGCGAAAATCGATATTGAAGTAATAACCGTTTCAAGAATATATTCGAGTAGATTGATAAGTTGAGAATAGTAAAGTATTATATTAAGTAAATAGTTCATGGTAAATATTCATGTATATGGTTGTGAAAATAGATGAAGTTATTTTTGTTTCCCTGTCAGTTAGCCACAAACTGTATAGCGAAGTGATAATATAATTGGCATTGCAATAGCGAAAATCGATATTGAAGTAAAATTATTTCACAATATATATTAGAGTAGATTGAAAAGTTAATAAGTTGATAATTGTAAAGTATAATATGAAGTAAATAGATTATAGTAAATATTCATGAATATATTTATGAAAATAGATCAAGTAATGTTGGTTTCCCTGTCTGTTAGCCATAAACTTTATGGCATATCCAGTTCCGCCACGAGGAGGCCAGGAAACGTCGGAACCATATTTACAATTATTTACAAATGTACAAGTTAGTTAACTTTACTAACTACCTACAGAAATATAAACAACAACTTAACTAACTAATAAAAAGAAGAAAATAGTTATTTGTGTAACTAGTTGTGAAAGTGGCACTTTGCTGCACACGAGAGCAATGTTTACGCACGAGCCGCAGGCAAGTGTGGAATGATCTCGAGTGCAGCAAAGGCCTTTTTCACTCGTGTTACACATTATATTTTTCCTACAGTCACCATAAAGCATATAAATAATTAGTCTTTCAAACACTATACAACACGTTTTTAGGTTCAGCTGGCAACACAAATGGTGCCCTAGAGAAAGCGGTCCCCGCGGTCCGTATCACTCCGCTATTTTTCCTCGGCAAGAAATGTGCTCCGCGTTTTGAGAATATAGTTCCGTATGTTTTTGTCATTTGAAGTGATTTCCACGCCTAAAAAAATCCATTAAAGGCATTTTCTTGTTTATTAAGATCGTAGGAATGTTTTAAAAACGTGTAAAAGAAAAGTCCAGAAAGTTCAGAAATACCGAAACTATAAACACGAAATGACAGGTTAAATAGTAGTTATAATAGTCAATCAGCTGCTCATAGTATTATTCTTTAAGTGTTGCCAACCTATTTCCAAGCGTACAGGGATTACGTGCATAATAGAACCACGCTTTTTTGTGTTGTTTCGTTGGAATCCCGATGTGCGGCAAAGTATAAACCGTACGGCAAAGTATAAATATGCAGCAATTAGCAGCTTTCTGTACTATAAACAGTACAAGGAAGCCAACTTTGTCGGGTGACTGTAGGAAAAAATATATACAACAACGGGGACTTTTGATAAGGCAGGCCCCCTATCGTACTGCCAAAATAGAATACTAAAAAAACACAAAAAACGACTTATTTCTAAAAAAAAAAAAACTAAAAGGAAATATATACAACAACCTACTGCTAAAGTCAAATCAGGGTTAAAGGAGGAGATCGTCATACACGATGTTTTTCGCGTATGCGATTCCACCTTGGACACGGTCGGGACGGACAAGGACGACTATATGGTCTGGATGCCTGATTCTACTCAGCAGGACGTACAACTGACCATGAGTGAAACAGTCACTGCGAAGATCGACTCCGACGCGATCAATCGTCTGGCCCTGGCTTTTGTGGCCAGTCATGGAATATGCCAGCATGAGAGGAAACTGAAGACGGCGGACACGAAGCGGTGACCCCTCGACGAACGGGAAAACGAATTGAATCCGGGGATTACAAATCGGATCATGTTGTCCAGGGAGTCGTACTGTAATCAGACGAGGTCTTATTGCCGTCACGATCACTTTAGTGCCGTTTACGAGTCCGCTGTCAATGTTCAAGTTCCTCATGACGAGACACACGGAGCCAATCTTGAGTCGCAGGACATGGTCTGGTACACCCTTGCCAGTAGCTTGGTTCAACAAGTGAACGTCTACATCCATACCATCGTCGTTCTCCTTGTCCACAGAATCAGCACTCCTCAACTCATGAACGACGCCGTCCATCAGGTTGAGGACGGTGTTGTTAATCTGCTGGACATTGGCGTTCATGGTCGAAAGAATGGATCTGCCAGCAATTCTGTCCGTGTGGTGTAGGTCACAAGCAGGAAACACAAAGTCAATCAAGTCGGGAAGGGATGTTACGTATTTCACACCGGACAGTGGGATCAGGGCAACAGAGTCACGGCCTTCCCCAAAAGGAACAGATGTAATTGTTCCATTGCCTACTTGAAGTCGTCAATTTTGTCATGGCACTCTCCCTCTTGATCTTTTTGACATATTCTGGGTGACGGACATTCCATAGCAGTTCACACGTTTCATAACACTCAAAAAACACTGTTATGTTTTTCAGCACTCCACTTAACAGTCGGTATCTTCGGCTCACCACTTTTCACTGAACGCATTGCTATTGCTGTTTACTCAATTAAAAAACAAACACTCAATCACGGTTCGACAAGACAACAGTTTCCTCAGTGCTCTAATGGCGACCAGAACATTTAAAACTTGGAAAAAATTGCTGTCAGTATGTCACGTGACCACGCTATTGTCCTCTGAGCGGCCAGTAAACTCAAGCTACTGGCCTGACCACGGCAAGTAGTAGGTCATGTGACCACTGGTGGCCAGAACGTTCCTGTCAAAACGTGTACTTGCCATGCACTTGCCGCCAGTAGAGCAGAGGTGCAAGTGAAATAATAGTTGATCAGTTGATCGTTTTTATAGAATTGACAAAGTTGTCTATTAAAAGTACAAATTTTGTTTGTTTAAAGTGTTAAGAGTGCCCTGTTGAGAAGAAAAAACATAAAGTGGGGTTGTGATGACATCATTAAGTTTTTGGAGATCTATCAGAGCTAGAACAACACTTAGAACATCAACACATTCCACAATTGCTTCATTAAATGTTTCACAAAATTCTTCATCACAATCAGACATTCTAAACAAAATTAATTCCAACCATCGACACCATTCACTCGCGGTCTTAAAGCAGGATTTTTATCAAAAGCTTTCTTGAAATTTTCAAAAACTAACATTACGTTGGCTTTGTTGAATTATGTGGAGCGAGCCAGACTTGTAGGTTCTGGTTTTCGTAAAGATAGATGGTTTCCATGTCTCTTACGGAAACCAATCAACCAGTCCTTCCCATCCTTTTTATGGATATCCCATGAGGAATCATACATTTTATTGTTTTATTTTGCAAATTGATAGGCTAGAGATCTTACTTCACTTAAACTAAGTCCGTAGTGCAGGTGGGCTGCTTTGTCTATGTAATGTATTAGAAGGTTTTCTTCAGCATCAGTAAAAACCTTTTTAGTGTCATTGTTTTGTTTATATTCGTAACTTGGCAAACCTGATGCCCTGAAGCTTTTCAGTTGTCGAAGCAAGGTCGTCTTCGACAGTCCAAAATCTTTTGCAGCCTTGTAAACTGTAATTTCTTGTTTTAAAATCATGTCTATGGCTGTGCTGAGACAGCTGGTTTTTATTTATTTATTTTTTTTTTATTAAATAATTTTCATCCGTTGTTTATTCCGTTCAGTAGATCGCCCCTCTGGTTGGGTTCTTCCTGTTCTTCTTCTTCTTTGTCCAAGGCACCTGTATCCAGGCACCGTTCTAGTCTGTCATTTCTGAAGCCGTTGAATTTCCAACTCCGGAGTGCCATCGTGTCAACAGTCTTGGCCCCCCCAGCAATCCTTATCAGCATCAAGGCATGAGTCACGATTTCGCTCGTGGTAGAATCTTTCTTCGTCCCAACTATCTGATTGACAGATGAGTTCCCATATTTTTCTGATATGGCACGAGCCACTGCGTATGGGACGGCTAGTTTTGCAGCCTGGAACTCTGTGACTTCAGAAGGAGGGAAAGCTAACTTTGCCCATGATGCATATTGGCCAAGACTGTTATATTTGGCAGCAGCTGCACATAGTGCAGGCCAATGTTTGGCCAATTCGTTCCACATAAGGAGCTCGGGGTTAATTTCGAGGAGCCAATAGCTAATGAAGTTCCAGTTTGTCATCTCCGCCCCTCTCAGTAATGCTAGCACTACGGTCATCCCGGCTCCCAATAGGTCTGGCCGTTGGGCCATCCCGTAGATATTGAGGAAAAACAATCGCCTTATCCTTCATTGGATCCTTACGTTATCATAAAAGGATGCTGCAAAAGATTCGGACGGAAACAAGTTAAGAGTGATTGGGTCGAATTCTGTTAGACCCAATGGAGCAGCATAGGAGCGTTTGCGACGGGAAATCCATGCAGTATAATTTGTCGCATCCAGTCTCTTTCCGATGAGATTCATCACTATGCTCAATGCGAAGACATAGTGGGGAGCCTCCATTCCTTGATATTCATCAAGCTGAGTGAGATCGACTCCATCATAAGAGGGATGTACTGCAATGAATTCTTCCAAGTTAACATAGTCCACAATAACTGAACACTCTTGAAGAATGGTTGTGAGCTCCATGGTAAAGTTCGGGTTAGCCACTCCCAACATTGCTGATCCAATCATTAGTGCTACAAGATAGTCGCTACTGTCTAGATTAGAGAGTTTCAGCAACTTCTTAAAATAGTCTGAGTCTGTCTCTCTCTGTTCCTTTTGGATGATATAGAAGGAAGCCTTGAATAGTTGAGGGGTCTTCGAGAGAGTAGCATTATTAGCAAACAAGTCCGGTGAAATCTGTTTTTGTACACTTGATGCTTTATCAAGTATACTTTGGACTACCTCCAATGGTCGAATCCCCGAGTGCAACCTCCTCAAGGGTCGAATCCGCTGATTAGCTCTCAGCATGCTAAGAGGAAAAGTTAGTCGGATGAATTCTTAAGTAGCTGGATATAAAGCACCTAGTAATATTAGATACTTCAGATTAAGCTTGATCTTTTTATTAGTGGGTTCTATTAGTGGGGGTTCTTTATTTATTCTACATTTATTAACTTAAAACTTAATTTAAAGCAGGAAAACCAAACATAACTTTACTTATCCACGGAACAATAATGGCCTTTTGGAGGTCCTCTTTGGAAGCTGGTTTTCGCTTCACCCCTGTTTTACTGCGAGGCATCTGGAAAAAACAAAACTGGTAAGAATTTAATTATGTGTGAAATTTTTATCAAACAATTGTGTAAAAACATAAAAATAAAAATAACTTAGCCTTCTATAATTTTACACATTTATTTGTTACTTCACAATAATCATAATTAAAAATACCCCCGCCGCAGCAAACCTGCCGTCTAAGCGAATTTCCATTTGGCCGAATTGATTTTCAATTGATCTATTTAAATAACATTATGTTTAACGAGTACCTAGGTTTGCTGCTACAAGGAAACTAATAAAGTAGTGTGTTTTTAGTAAAATATTGATAGCTTACTATAAAATAAATAAATTTGCCAATTTTGATCAAAATATATCCATAAACAAGCAAACTACAACATTTTACAATATTCTCCATAAGAATAACATGGGAATTTTAAATTTACCATTTTTTAGTTTTCTCCGTAACCAATAACCGTACAAAAACACTTTGATATACTGAATTGTTTGTTTTTTTAAGCTCTTTAAGAAGGTTTAGAGAAAAATTGGGAAATTTTGTGTTTTGAGGGTAAAAAGTGAGAAAAACCAATTTTTACCCCATAAAACCCTGTTCCCATGGTCCGATCATGCTGGATCGCGAACTCATCCAAGTTTATCCCGCCTTACACCTTCAAACCAAATTTCATCAAAATCGGATAAAAATTACTCAAGTTATCGTGTTCACGGACACATATATATATATATATATATAAATCTATATATATATATATATATAAATCTATATATATATATATATATAAATCTATATATATATATATATACATATATAAAAATTTGAACGAATGGTGTTTTTGGCCTCTGGGGACATTAAAATGAAAAAGTAAATCGGTCCCGGGCCTAAGTCTTACCATGAGACCTACGGTAATAGCTACTTCCCTATAGGGAAATTCGCTAACATAGTGTCATTAGTGGTTTATATTGACAGAGTAGGCTATCTTAAAATTTTAAATAAAGTAAACATAAGGCTAAGTTAACATAAGACATGTATATGGATTTTTAAAGGACCAATAGGCCTAAAGGATTAGATTAGCCTATTTCATGACAGTTATAAATTCACCTGAACCATTTATGGTCAGTAAGCCTAGCAAAATTAAATCCAATCATAAACTTAAATGGGCTACATTAGGCCTATCAATTATATATAGGATAAGGAACATAATGGATTAACACTTGATTAATTATTTTAAAATTCCTTTTTACTAGGTAGGCCTACTATTGATTTTTTATCTTTAAGTTTGTTACCATAAGCCAACACAGCAATTTTTAAAATAAACTTTGTTTTGAATCTGGGTTATACAGGTTATAGAACAAAATTCTATGAATACACACTAGTAGTGTACCTTGGTATTAGGTCCAAGGTACACTATATCAGCTAGGACCAAGGTACACCTTTGTGGCATTCCACAAAGAAATGGCTGACAAGAGGTAGTAGGTTAACTTTATACTTTATACTTTCTTATGAAATGGCGACCATACTATGTAGGTATTTTAAGCCAAGTATGAATGGAGATGAGTGTAGGATGAGTGGCGCGATCTTGTAGTCTTGTTAGTGACTAAGGCCGACATTCCTTAGACACAGCTGTTAATTAATAGCCCAAACAGCTAATGGCAACTAAGAGACCTACAGTTTATAGTGGAATCCGAACCACATTTTTCCTTGGTATATACGAATTGGTCTAATTATCAGGATAGTACTGCGGATAGTAGTAGTACTCACTAGTGCGGACGTTAATCCACACCAGGGAGTATCCCATCCACAGCGCATGCCTATAAATATCCACAATCCGTGACCTCCAAGTAGCTGGATTACAGGACGACGCCACCCGGACTCATCCAAACACGTGTTCTTGTAGCCAATTTTTTTAGTATTAGGATATAGTTAACTATCCAATTTATAAAATCAACAATCATGAAATAATATAAAAATAGTAAGTGTTAAAATACTTACTTTTAGGCAGTGAAATTCTTGATTTATTTA